TCATTTCTGTCAATTCGTGACATTGTGTGACCACTTCACAATGTCTTCTTCGATGAGTTACTGTCTCACCTTCAACCTGCTGTACCCTACTGGTCACGGCCTCCCACTAGAACCCCAGGCAACTAACTACCTGCCTGAATCGGGCCAGTCGCTAGTAAGCATTAGATCAATTTTCAAGTATTAGTTTTGTAAGGATTTTGTTTGATTGGTTGGCTGAAGAGTCCCAAACTAGGCTGACGAAACAGCTGTCCAGTATTCCCAACTGGTTATCCAATGGTTGTCTAACTGATTTCAGCTCATGATCAAATCCTTCAACCAATAAATTCGTTGTTGTAAAAGAGTCTCTTCTCTGAATATTGTCTTCTTAATGCTACAATGGCAATTATTAAGCGATAATCAATTATAGCCTATTTTGTACATTATGCGCCAAAAGCAAACACCACTAGAGTAATTTTATTTTTTATATTAATATTATAATTCTGACACTTGTATAACAACAGAATGCATTTCCTTCACTGGAAACACCTAAATTTGACCTAGAAAAAAATCACATGGTACCTAAAGTTAAAAAGAGTTATTGCCTTTTTAAATGACGTAAGTATAACATACACACACACATATATACACACAAATACGCCGAAATCCAACTACAACTAAAAGGAATCAAAAATTAACCAATCACATATAGATTAGAACAAAATAAAGCTGGCTTGTTAATTTTACGTGGGCGTTATAGTATTTCACATTCTATAACTCATCCATCTAAATAAATAAATAAATAAAATCTATACTCATATCTTATTGGATAAACTAGATCAAAAATACTCTGGAGTAGGGAGGAGAAATAAGAAGAAAGAGAAATTTAGGTATGTATCCAAAATCTAGTTTGATTACTTTTATTTTTAGACTTCATAGTAAATCATCATCAGACCCGTTGATTGAACACAGTCTTAGACCGAATTAATTACGCTGTTATCCATTAATCACTCTTTAATGTAGTCTTTAAGGCTAAATATTATGATGATAGCCTAATCAAGTATTGGTTTGTAGGGATTGCGTTGATTCGTTACAGGATTTCATCATGAGCTGACACTGTCGGTTAAAGAACCATTGGAAAACTAGCTGGGAGTAGTGAACAGCTGTTTCGTCCTAGTTTGGGACTCTTCAGTGGTACGTACCCGTCCCACTGCCAGGGTCGAACCCAGGTTACAAGGCCAGCCAGCTAGCTCGTAGACCACTTATTCAGCCATTGGGACCCGATCCAGTGGCCAACCAGCCCATGAATTCCAACTTCTACCAATTCAAAGCTAAATATACTCAGGATATTTATTAAAGTGTTTCAGCAGAACAACATCACCATTTTGTCCTGTACTCTGAAGGCATCTTGAAACTGGTTCCATGGTTTTCCATAGCCTCTCATCTCCTCTTCGCCACACGATCTCTTCCATGTCGCCCTCAAAACAACGAGAAACTAGCGATCTCTCATCCCGGTTTCACTTGAGCGATGGTTTGGTTCACGATGTCACTCTACGGTATTCTCGGAGCGTGTCTAATACTTATTTCTAGTTCCTTCACCATATTTTTTTTGAGCAAATGGGGAACAAGTTAAACTTTAAACACCAATAACTACCAATGGAGTGCCGCAGTACCAATGACCTTGAAACGCTTACTGAGCAAGTTAGTGAACCCTGGACATTAATGTTGTCACCATCGAAGTGTTACGTTAATGAATGGGATATCTAGCAAGTCTCAGCTTAGGTTTGGGAAAGATTAAGTTACAGTTTAGACCAAAGACAAGTTAGCGTTTGATTAACCTAATAAAGGTGATATTAGGGTTGGTTCGAGTTAGATTACAGTTAGTTTAGGGATATTTGCACGTTAGGGTTAGGTTCAGGAAAGATTAGGGTTACCGTTAGGATTAGAAGACCTAGATAATAATTACATGCATAGAATCCGGTTAAATTATACTGTTGATACTCATACTCAAAACTGTGAGGGAAAGGTATCCTCTGTAACACATTTTTCGCAAACATATTAATTCCATACACAAAAATGCCTCCTTCACGTGATTGGTGAGTTCAAGGTGATTCGTTGATTGGTAGTTAGAGGTGCCTAAAGTTTAACTTTGCCACAATAGGTCGTTAGTCGGTTAGTTGACAGAGTGATGCTTTTCGTGATATATGCACTACAAGTTTTTTTTTGATTGCAGCTTGATTCCACACAGTGCTTTTTTTATTAGAAATAAGGAATTTTCAGCATGTGATATCGGTAGCCTAAATTTTGCAGGCCGACCAATGATATCGGGTGTGCGTCGGTAGGGGATCGAACCCCGGACCATGTGCATAGTCGGAGAGAGTCCTAATCACTGTGCCACCCCTATAGAAAAAGTGACTTCAATAGTAGTGTTGAGAATTCGAATCTTGTTCTTTACGCTGAATGAAGTAGATTTACAAACTGATTATCAGAGTGATAAAGGTCTGCCCTTTTCGTTTCCAATTCGTGTTCTGATATCCTCAATCGAGGAGTCGGCTGAGTCAGCTGAAACGATGCAGCTCAGATAAGTGAAAGAAGTGTCCTCTTCCTAGGTTTCAAGCTTGAGGTTCAAAGCACCAGGAGTAGTGTGGTGTTTTCTTTGCTTTAGGCAGGCGGAGTTACCAACTTTGCGCCTAAAAATTGTTTCTCTGCTTAACTTACTACCTGCTATAAGCGAGTTTTCGGAGCACATTAGTGATTAGGAACCGAAACCATATCCCCATGTGTGGCTTGATTGACCAATTGAATTGCCAAAGCACAAAGTAAACTACAGAATGGCAAATAACCAATATCACTAATCTGATCGATAAAAAATGGATCAGTAATTACTTGATATTGATCAATATTGGGTGACTTGTCTTTATGTATTTTGCGATAAGTAATACCGGGGAACTATTTCCAGGGTTAATTAAATTTGCAGCCATTTAAGGAATGTGTTCTTTGGCTGTATTCTGGAGATAACGACAGGGACCTCCGTAGGTACATGTGATCATACAAACACACTTAGATACATGTAAAATTGGTACACAGAGTGGGAGGATGTGACACAATCGTTTAAATGTCTTTTTCTACTAAAGTAGCCACAGTAACTATGCCAATTTAGAAAGTATCTTGCCCATTTTGGCTTCTTTTATTATGTAGGCTGATAGTCACATTATTGACTAATCATAATATCGGCGAGTTATGAGTACACCTAAAAGTAGCAAACCATTGTTATTTTGTTGAACACATGTTAACAGTATACTGCCAAATCGTACAAAAGTGAGGGAAATATGGGGCTTGGACAATTTTTTTTATTCCTTACCGTTCCCAGTGCTGGGACACAAGGCGGCTTTAAGCTAGAGCTTTGAAGTTTCGGCAGCAATAGTGTTTGTTTTTATGGGTTGGGGTCGCTAGCTTCATGCCCAACCTTCCCTCTTTACCAATCTTATTACTGGTTTAGTGGGGTAAAGAAGTGCATCGGACGGAGATCGAACCCCAGACCACGTCAGGCGTGGTCCGCAAGCATTCTACTGCTATGCCACTGACGCACTTGCATGGCCAATAGTAAGAAAGGAAAGACGAATTTTAGCTATATGACGTAATTTTTCTCATTTTGAGCACTTTTTTAATCAGGATTTGCCAACCAGATTGCCATTCTTACCATTTGCCCAAAATCGTGCCCATTTTAACCATCCATCGCTCATTTTTGTCTGATAGGGTATATGTATGCATTGTATTCATCTGGTTAAGAATTTCTATAGTATTCTATCGACTAGCTATGATACCAATGTTAACGAAAATCAAGCACTGTACCAGACCAGAAACCAAAGAGTATTGAGACAAGTGTTTCGTCCTAGTTTAAGACGCTTTATCAATATTCAACCATGCACCGCCCCCCGTCCCTCGCGAATCATGGATCGGATACAAAACCTTCAGATTACGAAAGAAGCCCATTAACACGTCAGTCATTTTTTTAATAGCCCGTAAATTATAATCATTGAAGAACAATAGACAAGCAAACACACAAACAAACATCCGGCCAGCCAGCTAGCCAATGAGACATAGATCATTAAACCTTAGTAACTACAGAACGATCAATAAGAATAGGTAAACGTTATGAACATGCCCAGTAATGACAAATTCCTTAAAATATATATACGTATAAACTCATTATGACTAATTTTCAAGAGTCAGTTTATATGGATTTGATTTATTTCAATTCTGACTATGAATTGATTTTAATCAAAGCATCATTGAAAACCAAAGAGTACTCGAAAAGCATTTCGTCCTGGTTTGGGACTCATCATCAGTACAACAATCACTGGGGTTCGAACCCAGGATCTTCTAGTTGCAAGGGAAGCTCATAGACCATTCAGTCATAGAAGCGACTGGTACCAGCCAGTGTCATCCGCGGCAAGTATTTTTTTTTCCTCACTCCCAACCTGGTAGTAGACCCCGCTGGCCACAGAGCTTCTCGCTAGTGTTCCAGGCACTTGAATCTGTAGCCAGTCAATCAATGGTAAATGCATTCGATTAATTTTCAAGTGATGTGTTTTAGATCTTTATCTAGTCTGAAAGTTATTCACTTATTTTTAATTGTATTCCTTTGCATTCTGCCGAGTGGGATGAACAACATCAGGGTTTCAAGCTTATGGTTTGCAGTTTCAGTGGCAGTAGTGTCATTTCTTTTTATGGGGGCGGGGGGGGGCGGGAATAATGCGGTTGCTAACTTCACCTAGCCCAACTTCCCCCAACCCGCCTTTACACGACTTACTAATGGCTAAGCAAGGTTGGCAGGAGTGTGTTAGTAGGTAACGGGTGATCGAAGTCCAAACCACATCCATGGTTGGCGAGTGTTTCCACTCTAAGTGGAAATCAGTTAACTTAAAAGTAATGCTGGGCATTTTTGAAGACATCTAAAGAATGGAAATAAGAAAATAGTAAAAAAGAAAGGTAGGAAAAAACACAGGGCAACACAAACTCACCTCCAAGAATACCAAATGTAAATATAAACTGTTCAATATTGACTACAAATGCACTGCTAAATAATGCTATAGTAGAGATAATTGCACCGACCATAGCAACTGGACGAAAATCGAATTGATTACTCAATGCACTAACAATTGGACCTATAGAAAGAAAGAAATGTCATTTAAAATCACAGAAGAAAAATTGTAAGTAATCACAATACAACCAAAATCTTTCATTGTGTATTGTGTTATATTATATCAATCAATAGAATAGATGTATGCGTGGATGAAAAGGCCTTCGATAGCGCCGATCACTAGGTAATTTGGAAACTACTTCAATACTTCAGAGTTCCGTAGACCAAACGTTTACCAACCTTACTCAACAGCTGGCTATGTATATATATGACAATGTCACATGGCAACGACAGAAGGCAAAGGCCAGGCAACAGATCGTTTACTTAGAAAAACAAGAGATATTTATAGATTTTCATATACATTATTATTAGCGTTATTTTTTTTAGCAGAAAAGCAGAGTCTTCTGAATGGTTGTTTTTTCTTACTGAAGATTATTCTACACTGCTTGTGACCGTTTCTTAGAAAGTTAAGCCATATATCTGCGAATCGTATTTGGCACACGTTTAATCTGCTGTGATTAGTTGGTGAATCCCTCAAGGTTAAGCTTTGTTATCGATTTTTTTTTCTCATGACCCCGAAATGTCAAGTAATTCACAAGGCGAAACTCGCTCAAGCCTTTGAAGTGAAGACAAGTGAGTAAGACAAGGCTGTCTGTCTACGATCACCGATGATATTCCTGATTGTAGTGGACTGGACCATGCAATAGGCCGTGTTGGACGAATAAGAAGACTCTAGAAGATATGGCGCTTCGAGGACAATTTACGCCGAATGTCACGCAAACTCAAAGACTTACGGGTGGAAATCAACAAATTACACCAGAAGAAGAACCAGCAAAAGCATCATTACTTCAAGTGAACACAGAGAAGACAGTCACAAAAACAAGCACAGATCACTGTCAACGGGGGGAAATTGAAAGATGTATGTCACTTCCTTCACCCATCTACACAGAATTGTTTCAGCTACAGGCAGAACCGATGAAGATTTTTTTTATTTTTGATTACAGCTTGATTCCACACCGTATTTTTTGGTACAGGTATTGTATTTTCAGCATGTGATATCGGTAGCCCGAATTTTGCAGGCCGACCACAGAGATGTCAGGTGTGCATCGGCAGAGGATAGAACCCCAGACCATGTGCATGATCGGCGAGAGTCATAACTGCTGTGCCATCGACGCACCAGATGTCAAAGCGAGGATCAGAAAGGCAAGACGGACCTTCATGGCTCTGAGGTCAGTGTGGAAATCTGCTGCACTCAGTCAGCATAAGGAATGCGATTCAAATTGTTGACAGGAATATTAAGCCAACCAGTTCTTATATATGGGTCAGAGACTTGGCGCACGTATCGTGAAAAGCATTTTCAATCGACTACTGCAGAATTCCATCATTAGCTGCCTTCATTGGCGCCATAATGAAGATCAGATCGTCAGTCAGAAAGGATCAACAACAAGGAACTTTAGGAATGAACTAATCGAGAACTTATTGCTCAACAAATAAGCTGAAAGAATTGAAGGTGGATCGGACACATACTGAAAAGACTGCTGAGTGACAGTGCGCCTCAGGAACAGCCTCGATTGGAACCAGGACGGGAAGCAGTGAGGCGGATGTCCAAATGTAACGTAGTGGAGATCGTGTGAAGAAGCGGAGAGGACAGTTTATGGTCAATTGTGGGGCCAGCTACAGAGGACTGCAGAGTACAAGATAGAGTGAAGATGCGCTGTTGAAGCCCTATGTTCCCAAGGGAATAACAATAATAATAATGGATGGATGAAAATAAAAGCCTTACAATTAAATCATCACCATCACAGAAAGAATCAACATTAAACGCATTAATCCAACGCTTGTAAAATCTTCTCTACTACTTCAGAATATTTCAATCTACTATTTGAAATTCCATAACTGATGAAGATGAGGCGTATTCATAGTTGGGCTTAAAACTGCTTCAGACTTTCACCAGTAACTACCTTTGCTTATTGATACTGCAGATCAAATAACCAGCCAACAAGGATAGGCAAGGAACAGGACGGCAATCAATTCCGGCATGTATGAAACCGACCAGTAACCTGTTGCCCAACAAATATGCAGCAGCAAATATAAATGAATTAAGGCATTTAGAAGACAAATTTCGCAAGATGATATCTTCATTTCGTAGTTTCTTTATAACCGCTTTACAACTAATATGGTTAACAATAATAAAATAAAATAAAATGCATGACAATCACTCAGTTATATAAAATAAAAGTACATACTAATGACCAAACATATTTAAATAGGTCATGTAGTCTATGGTAGCCGAGGGTTGAAGTCTATTGTCTTTTTGTACACACAATTTAGGCTGTATGTGATTAATCCCCAAAGTGCTTCCATCACCTTCAATAACCAAACTTGAATAAGAGCTGTTTGATAAAGTAATTTTGAAACAGTCATTAATATTGATTTTGTGATATGACATTAATAAGTGGCTTGCAATGGATGATGATGGATTTCTATTCAGATTAATCGCATTGGGATTTTCTATATGATTTAGTAGCCATTTTGGAACATGTTCTTTTCGACGACATCGGAACATTCTGTTGTTTCTACCTATATAGGGGTCACCGCAACTGCAGGTGAACTTTGAGATACAGTTTGAAGTAGAGTCCACAGAATTTTATCCTTTAATCGTAGGTACAGGGATAAAAAATGCTCGAGTTGTGAGGGAAAGAGATGAGGCGTAGAATGTGCGTTTGACGCCTGACCGAAGTCTTTGAGCTAGCTATCAACTTCATAATCTGGTTACCTTTGAATGGTAGGTCAATAAAGTAGTTTTCTTTGGTAGAGAAGCTGTCTTTTCAAGATGTGATCTATCCGTACTGTGACAAATAGTAAAGTTTTCTGGATAATTAATAGCTAATAAAACTGAATGTATGCGTCAAAGCTCATCCATCAATGTGTCGCTCGTACATATTTTGCGGGCCCTTGAGAACAAACATTTCACTAGGGAACGTTTATACTGGATAGGAACAAAACTGGTGAAACGAATATATTGTCCACTTTATGTCTGTTTACGAAAAGTAGATCGCTGGCTCGTTCCATGTTAGTTGTAAAGCGGTTGTAAAGAAACTACGAAATGATATCATCTCGCGAAATTTGTCTTCTAAGTGCCTTATTCAAATTTATCAAAGGGACTGATTTTTTTAATAAATGGATTAGACATCACCCACGCATTCGGTAGACTGCCAAGTGGAACTTGAATAAGGGACGACGAGTTCGGCGTAAACCCAACAGTGGAATGAAGAAGAAATCAAAGTCTGTAGGAAATCGTGGAACTAGCTAAATAAAATGAAGACTGAAGAGAAAAGAGAGAAATGGAGATGCACTACGGAATCCATTCGAAACCCAATGGAATACACCCAGACGACAACTGCTACCTTGTCGTGGTGGTAGGGCTTCAATACCGCAGTGACCGACTCAACAAGCTAAACTGGCTGGGACTTATGTTCCTGCAGGTCTTACCATGTCAGGAAGGTTGTCCAGCTAGCGGTTAGACAAAAAGAAGTTACCATGGAGTATATGGGTTCCAGATTCTAATCGGATCAAATGGCGTAGGAGCCTGTATTGGTCACCGGCAGCCATAGGAACGTACCTTCTGACGTTGCTCCACTACCTTACGGATTAGACTCCAAGTCAAAGGCTAGTGTGAGGGGTGGTCCCTTAAAACAACCACCTGCTTGGGTCTGGGCGCTCAAGCAGTATATCAGCTTTCACACAATCTTCGAAGTAAAAGAAAAAACTATCAGTGAAACTGTGCTGCGATTTCCTTCTTTCTTCCCTTTCCGACGATAATTGATGAATGCTGTTTGAACGTGTTAAATATAACGATCTTCAGGTATTGTTTTGTAAGGATTTTGTTTGAATTGTCGGAGGATTTCATCATGAACTAACATCGCTTAGAGAACCATTGGAAAATCAGGTGGGGGTACTGGATAACTGTTTCGCCCTAGTCTCTTGGGTCTCTTCATGAGTACGCATACACCATCAAGGTTAGAACACAGGCTCTTCTGGTTACAAGGCCAGCAAGTTCCTTGTAGATCATTAGGCCACCGGAACCCAACCCAAAGGCCTAGTGATTTAATAGTCTACAAGCTAACTCGCTGACCTTGTAACCAGAACAGCCTGGGTTCGACCCTGGCATTGGGATGGGTGCGGACTGATGAAGAGTCCCAAATTAGGCTGATTCCCAGCTGGTTTACCAGTGGTTCTCTAACCGATGTCAGCTCATGATTGAAATCCTCCAACCAATCAAACATAACCATTTTCTTTCCAGATAAAGTACTTTATCCGTTCTCTACCTATACTTTTTACTTTTAATCTATATTGTTTTATTATTATGCCCTTTCCGACCGATTTCACCTTAATTATGGGTATGAATGATGTGAACTTTTTAGTGAAAATTGGTGTCCTAGATAATATTCTAATTAACCTCCACCATCAATCAGCTAACCAATCATAGGATAAAAAATATACTTCATAGCCAAGTGTGATACACAGATACATAAAATCTAAAATTCAGGTGTAGCTGATTTTCATGTAATAGAATGATGTCAAATAAGTACTTAAAAAACAAAAACACAAATTTGTGCATGAAGTGCATGTGTGTGTGTGTGCGTGTTTAAGGGTTAGGCAATAAGGGTAGGTGGTGAGGCCGAGAGGCGGTGTAGGGGGGGGGGGGCAAACAAAGGTGTTTTCAAACAACAACAATAATAGCCTTTATATTTTGACATAGAGAGAATTCACCTTAACTGAAAACGAAAGTTTACTGGTTTTTAAAAAAAATTTTTTATTCGGATAGGCATAGAAATAAACAAAATACAAAATAATAATTACAGATAAAGGTGATAAACAGGAATACGTGTGTGTGTGTATATGTGTTTAACATTTCACTGACGACCTTGACACTTCCTTAATAGTACTGTTTATTACTGTGATAAAATCCTAACAGCCTTAAAATGATATCGCGAGAGAGGGAGAGAGAGACACTGAAAAAAG